AGAAGCATGAAGCATAGGTCCTCTCTGACCCATCTCCCTATCTCCACCATCACTTCCTTCCCAGAGAGAGGGAAGTGCAGGCTGAGTCAGAACTCTGAGTTCAAGCTCTAGCTGTGTGATCTTGGGCAGGTTACTTATGATTTGTTGCCTCAGATGGAAAACTATGGGTGACAATGATGATAATATTACCTGCCTCACTATAAATCATCTTGCTTTAAAAAAATCCCGCTTCCCAGCAATAGCGGCCCCTGGTGGTCATGCTCTGCTGCAGCACCTTCTACTTTCTCCAGGGTGGAGACCTAAACTGAGTCAGGACTGAGGCCCGCTGCTGCTTAGCAGGTTGCTCATTAAAACCACAGGCCCAGAGGGTGAGAGACTGAAGGAAACATCTCATTGTTCTCCCTTAACAACATTGTCCATGCTCAAGGTCCTTCCTTATCCACCCACCCCTACATTGCATCATCCTTCTAAATCAAAGCCCCAGCCCTCACAGTTCTGTGCCTGCATCCCTCCCCGTCTCTAGGGCCAGGCCCTTTACATGAAAGTCTTCCCTGTCCACTTCCTCCATTCCCACACCTAACTCTTCCTGGAACTGATACATCCTAAATATTCTCACATCTCTTCCCCCTCTCTGCCCCTAGGTTCAGGTCTCATTACCACAAGCCTTGATGGTGGCAACTGCCAGGCCATCCTGCCTGTCTCCCCCACCTCACCCCAATCCTCCACAGTGATCTTTCTAGGCTAGGTCTCAGGTCCAAAGACAGGCAGTGGGGAGAGAAGTGCTCTGCTTTTCACACACACACCCCTCTGGTCTCTCTCAGGCTCCCTCCTCTACTGCAGAAGGGAGGAGGGAGCAGGGGCGAGTGCCACCTACCTAGTACTACAGTCAGCTTCCCTCAGATGCAATCTCCCTTGGGGCTAGTGATGCCCAAAGCTTGCTGACCCACAGGGGCTCCTTTCATGGAGTCCTCTTGGCCCACAGAACCTTACTTCTCTCTCTGTGTGGCCCCCTCTATTCCTGGCCACCTTTCTTCAAGGTCTGTTTCCTCTACTCAGTAAGGCCCAGAGGGCAGAGGAGCAAGACCCTTGTCCTAAAAGACAGCTGCCCAGAATCAGGGCACCAGTGGGTCCTTCAGTCAGACCCCCAACCTTGAAGAGTGGTTCCCATGGAAGTCCTCACCCACTGACCGTGGTGGCCTCAGCCTTCCCCTCTGAGCAGAGGAGCAGGAAGCCACAGCCTCTGTCCGTGATGCTTCACACAGCCTCTTTGCACCCCACCTGCCTACTCTCCTGTAGACTGGGGCAGGGGTAAGACCTTCAGGGTGGGTCTGGCAACTTTGTTTAGGATATGCGTGGTATCAGAGGCTATTATTTTTATTTTCAGGGCTTAGCTGCAATCCTGAGACATGAGTAGATTCAGGAAGTCTTTATCAGCCCTGGCCGGGTAGCTCAGTTAATTAGAGCATTATCCCCATATGCCAAGGTTGCAGGTTCGATCCCCAGTCAGGGCACATACAAGAATCAACCAATGACTGCATAAACAAGTGGAACAACAAATTGATGTGTTCTCCCTCTCTCCCTCCCTAAAATTAATAAATAAAAATTTTTAAAATGTCTTTTAAAAAAAGTCTTCATCAAACATTCCTTTACCATCTAGTTATCTTGCCCTGGGATCAATTCCAACCAGTAAAGGTCCCTCTTAAAATACAGTATCCAGAACAACACTCCAAGTGCAGAGGGCAATGAGACTGTCACCACCTCTGATCTGGACCCCTTCCATCTATTAGTCACTTATAATCTTTTTACTTTTTTAGGCAGCCACTGCACAGTGTCAGCTCATAAAAGGCTTGTGGGCTGCTACACCCACCAGGGTTTCTTCACTAGAAATGCTCTACTCTTTATTCTTCCTTTTTATGCTGGTTTTTTAAATTGATTGATTGATTGATTGATTGATTTTTATAGAGAGAGAAAGGAGAGAGAGAAACATTGATTTGTTGTTCCACTTAGCTAGGCATTCATTTATTGATTCTTGTATGCGCCCTGACTGGGGACACCTTGGCATATCAGGACGATGCCCTAACCAATTGAGCTACCTGGCCAGGGCTTATGCTGTTAATTTTTTAAAAACCAAAAGCAGAATTTTACATTTATCCCTAGTAAATGTCATCTGCTTCACTTTTTTTTAATTCTGTCAAAATCTAACTCTTAGTTCTTGCATAATCTGTTAATTTGATAAATACGGTTTCTATGTTTTCATTCGTCTTTAATAAAAACTCATGACAGTCAGGACCAAGGACAGAACCTGATTAGACAGCCCAGAGCCCTCAGCTTGCTCATGGACATCTCTGGCGACAGCTACTGAACTTTATGTCCACCACTGTAGTATCACATGGCCCATGTGTCCTGGGCCCAGAGGTTCAAGAAGTGCAGCCAAAAACCTAACAAAAATCCCAAGACTCCAGTGCAAGCCCTGGGGGAGGAGAGGAGGCCGCTTGGCCCACAGAGTGCCTGTTGAGTGCCTGCTGGCCCCCATGCAGGACTTCATTTTTCTGTCTGTCATTGTTTTAAATACTGTTTATCTGTTTAGAATCCGCTGAGCATTGATGGAGCTCTGTCTGCTAAAACCTACTTTCTCCTGCCTTAGGAAAATCAACACCATGCTCTTCTTTAGCATTCTAGATCATCTCTGCTCCCCATGGTCCCCAAAACTCACTGCTCCAGCTAAGTGGCTTTGTACAAAGAGCTTCCCATACTTGGTCTTGTTTGATACTCAAATCAAATCTATTAGGATGGGGAAATATTAATCTCCTTTACCAAACTGGTAAACTGAGGCTCACTTACAGAAGTTATGTGACTTTCCCAAGGTCATTCAGCTAGAAAGTTCACAAGTCAGACCCATTGCTCTTTGCACCAGACACAGTGCCAAATGTCTTCCCCTCTGCATAAGAGTGAGGGGTCCAGGAGAGAAAGTCACCCCTTCAGTGCCACCACACCTCTCCAGGAGATGTCCCTAAGGATTCCAGGGGATCCCAAGTATTCAGCATCTCTCTCCCCATAGGAAGGAAGTGAAAGAGGAGGGAGAGATCCCAATCAACTCTCCTGGACACAGCTCTTGGGGAGCCCCCAGCCTAAACCAAATAGTAGAATTTGTGAGGTAATGTGAGGAAGGAGTCTCTCCCCTCACTCCACATCCATAGGCCCTCCTGGCCTCCATTCCACATATTGGTAGTGAATTCCAAATCCCAGCTTGCCTGGGGATGGGAGGGGATGGATAGGAAGGGCCTGCTGGTCACTGACCTTGCTGTAACCCAGAAAACCCTTTCCATTCTGTGTGCTTCCCCAACTCCCTGCAGACACCTTGGGAGATAAGAGGGGCAATAATCTTATTATGTCTACTTCCACCACCAGACTATGAGCACCCGTCACTGTTGCTCTCACATCACCGATCTATGAGCTCTTCCAGGGCTGGGAGTGAGTGCTGACACATACTAGGTGCTGATCAACACTTGTAGAACTGGATTAGATTTATGTGAGCAGAATTTCTTCCCTAAGATCTCCTTGGTTTCATTTTCCCTGACTCTCCTCCTGTGGCCCTGCTTCTTCTTTACTCTGCAAACCCCAAATTCTACTGTCTCTCACTACCCAGGAGGAGGACCCCTCCTCCTCCAGAAGGCCTTCCCAACGACTCCCACCCTTACCATTTCAGGTGAGCTCTCTGCTTCCTGAAATGTAGAACCATCAAAGGAATGTTTTGAGGAATAAGTCAGATAATGTAAGTAAAATGTTAGAACACGATTTGGCACATCACAAAGGCTCAATAAATCTGGGCTAGTTGTGATAAAGGAAAGAGCCGCTGCTTTTCTGCTTCTTCTTGGCCTGGTCTGTATGCCACCAGGGGGCGCCCTCTGCCCAAAAGTCCCTGGCACCTAGACCAGGATGGGGGCCTTTCCCTGAGACTGGGGGAGGCCTTGGACTAAGTAAGGTGGGTATGTGGACCTCAGGTTATGTGGAAGAGCAGCAGGAAGGATGGAGGTGAGTAATAGAGAAAATACCCTTTCATTTTTCCATTTTCTGATGGATACAGAGGCAAGAGTGTGTGCATATCTGTGCAGTCTCCCCATACAACATGTTCTTTTCCCCAGGCAGTGTCTCTCTTACCTTTCTTTGCAATGCTACCTTCTTCCAGTATTTTGGGCTGGTGAGCACTTGCAATTTACAAAAGAACAAAAACAAACAACAAACAACAAAGCATGGGATTTCCATCATTGCTCTGGAATGATGAAGAAACTGAGTCTTAGAGGAATTCAGTAAGTGATACCTTTCTTGGGTGTGCTGAGTATCTGAGACTCGAGTCCTCTCCCAAGCCCGAATCCCCTGGTACCCCCTCCACAGGCTCAGTTCTGTGCATAATCTGCTTTTATCAGAGGTTATGACCCTTCCTCACTGCCTCCTCCCTCAGAAAGCCACCACCATGGGATCAGATTCTCCAGGCATGGCTTTTCCTACAGTTCCACTCTCCATCCAGCGCACCAGGCCGCAGGGACACAGGATGCAGTTGCTCCTCCAAACTCTAAGGGGTTAAGGCCTAGGTCCCGCCCCC